CTGACACAACGACGTTATTGCTAGACGACAGAACTACCATGGAACGCTAGTCGCAACCCTTCTTGTTCAAACGAAAGAGTAAAAGAAAGAAAAGAGAATAGAAAGTGAGAGAGAAGAGAAGATGGAGAATAAAAAGAGTGAGAGAAGAATAGAAGAAAAGGGAGAGATAGAAATAAGAAGAAGAGCTTAGGAGAGGACAGGAAGAAAGAAAGAGGGAGAGGAAGAAGAGAAGGAAAAGCATGGAGACGAAGTAAGAGAGAGAACCAAAAGGGCAAAAACGGAATTTTGCACATTAAAAGAGGTGAAAATGAGTTCTCCAATAAAGGAATTATAACAATGAGATCTAAACTCAAAATCAATTTTTTCTTTTTTTTAAAATGGTTCATCTAATGAACAAATTTTGAGATAAAAAAAATTCCTCGTAAGCCTAGATTCAGTATTTCAAATCCAGATTAGCAAATCTATGTCAAATTGTTGGATTGGACATCCAAGTCAAGTCTGGATCACTTCAAATTAGTGATTTAAAAAAATGATGAAAAATACAAAATTAAATATAAAATATTAAAATATAGATTGGGAATATGGTGTGAATCTAAAAAAACATTAAATAACCTTAAAAAAAAAAAAAATGTAAACAAGGGATGTTAGGAGGATGGGAACCGGGTTGGGACCCATATCATCCTGGAATCGGTTCGGTTTTGATTGATTCCCATCTAAATTGGCGATCTAGATTAGAAAAAGCCAATTTTAAAACCAGATCTAATCATTCCATAAAGTAGAGGGCATCTGTTCATTAGAAATTTTTTTTTTTTTAAAAAAATCATTTTTTAAGATGTGTTTTCAAAATATTGTTCTTTTAAATGAAAAATAGTGTATGTTTAGGCTCAAACAAATGCAGCCTAACATGGTTATTGAAGGTTTGTTTTATGAAAAAAGTTTATATAAGGTTGCAACCTTAAAATGTAGAATTACAAATGCACCTAAAAAATCTATCGGGAAAGGTTGTTTTAGTGTTGAAAAACCCTCTAATTGATTATTTAGACATTGAGATATATGAATATGAAAAAAGAAATATATTTTGAGTCCTAAAAATGGTGCATCTTGCAACACATTATCTAGACCGTCTATTTTTAAGATTTTCATATGTTTATAGATCTACTTGATTTTAACTATTTTTAAAGTTTAAAAGTTTGTAATTAGATTTGAAAATGGATTTTCAGATAAATTTAAGAATTCTTTCGACCAAAATTACATATTATGATAAAATTTGGAGGTGCACCT